AACTGCTTTCTTAGGTCTCTCTAAGAAGTGGTGGATCCGTTAGCGAGGCTCTTATACCAGGTCATGACACCTTTCCTCAAAGTAGTAGGGAATAACTTGCATTTGATGGTGCCTCTGACACCGCGATAATCAACCAAAGCATTGATGTTTTTGATGTGCTCGTCGAGATCCGTCGTTCCATCGTATGTTCCCAAGTTCGGTGGTTTTTGTAGCTCGACGGGAAGGGGAGCATCTATGATTGCTTGAGATAACGGACTATGGGGGCCGTCTTCGTCACTCTAAATTGGTGAGCGCGTTGGAGAATAGTCGCAATTCTCTCGTCGGGGCGGTCATCACGGCGTGGCTTTACTTTTCTTGGCAACCGAGGAGCGTCGATCCTCACGGGGAAGAGTACGGTTGTGCTTTAAGAGTTGTGGCCTCTCCAACTATGGGCGGTGGCCTGGTTGTTGCAGTGATGGGCTCCGGGATTCCCACCGATAGTGTCTCCGTAGGGGAGAGCGTGAACGGTTGTCCTTCTCCAACACTTTAATCCTCTCATTTTGCTTATCAACATGTTGGTCTGGTTCAGCGTCGCAAATAGGGCCTCCATGGTTGGGTCGGTGTTAGGTGGTACTGAAATCGGTTGAAATGTTTTCGGCATCTTCTCTGGATCTTTCTGGACTCTATGAGTTTTAACATATTGGACGTCGTGGTCGGCCGCATCATCGGAGGAATGGAAGGCGATGCGCTCTTATCTCCTCGGTGGAGTGCTTTCCTTCAAAATCGGCATACAATTATTGTTGTCAGCGTCATAGACGGGAGAGAGGATGGTTTTGTGATCGTCGTTGTTATCATCATGTTAAACGACCGTGATGGATTTATGAGGTTTTTTGTTTTGATCTTCTGGTTTTAGGGAAAGAAAAGACGGGGAAACAAATTTCCCACAAACGACTCCACTGATCTAACCTGTTGACCAGAGTAGGTGAGTGGCCAACAACACGTCTGCGGCCTTGAACGGTCGACGGATAGGGGGTGTACCTGCAGGCACTTTGATGCTTAAGTCAGTTCAGGTGAAGATGTGAGCAAGAAAGGGTAAAAAATAGAATGCCTGATTCTTATGCGGTGAAGGGTTTTTATAGTGAGCCCCCAACGCTTGACCAACAGTCCCCGTTATGGGCTGAGTGTTCAAGCCCACAACGGATGACTTCTAGGACTCCCACATGAAAGTAGGAATAATTAGCTCGTGCTTATCATGTTGGGTCAACTGCTCTGCACTCCCTAGATAGCGGATGGACTTGCCCTTTATGAAGGGCATAATGGCTTCGCGAGGTGTGCGGGTCAATTGGTGACGTGTTCTTGGGCGAGGAGCAGGTGGGGAACGTGTTCTCTTCTGGCCCCCAACGGGTTGGACTAGCATTCTGGGTTGTTCCCGGCGTAGAACTAGATTGGGTTGCGCTGGACGCTGGGGCAGCCACAAGCCCAGTCTAGAACACTACCCTTATACAATAAATCACTATAAGCATATAATATCTTCAACATGAAAAATACGAATGTGATAAATAACCTGAACATGCAAACTATGCAAAAATGTAAAGACATGGGGATGAAGAGATTTGTACATCAAGTCTATATTAGTTTAATGCTTTTATCCTTACTTTGCACTTAAACCAATATTCAATGGAGAACCACTAAAATTCTTAGGGTCTTACACTATTTTGTAAATTAATATACATAGTTTTTTGTACACTCAATAACCTAGACAACACTAAATACGTCAAAGCCAATTAGCACACAAGCCAACACAGATCTAAATCTGAATATCCCTTATATTGTAACATAACATACAAAATTGCTGAAATCATAAGATTTTTGCTTGATATTGACCTAAATGTCTTGCTAAACTTAATGTTTTGCTCCAAGCTTCTGTTCCATATACATTTTCGAACGAATATACTGGTTCTTTGTCTGAGCTCTTATTTTATCCAAGGATCTTAGAAACTCCAAACTTGGTTCTGTAACTACCTTCTTTTCATGCTACCAAAGTTTTCAATAGAGTATAACACAATCTTTTCTTGATTGAAGGAAGTCTTCATACACTATAATCACAATATCAAATCTTAATTCAATAGACACAAAAGCTTCACAAAAAATATTAGATTCCTTAAGTACCTTATATCTACCACTCACACCCAATCTTTAGAGTTTAGTACCAAAACAATGGGGTTTCTTGGTTCAAGATTGAAGATGATTGAGTATCTTAAATAAACTCACACAATGTGTAAATATGTCTACTTGATCAACACTCTATGAAGTTTTTCTATAGGCTTGACTAGACAAAGAATTTGTGAAAGAACACTTAAGGTTTTCTAGACTTATGAAAATATGGTTAGATTAATTTCGGAATACACAAATGTGCGTCATGTCACTGACATTGTATTACATTAAAATTTTGAGAAAAAGAAAAAAATGATTCATATATGTGCTATAGAAAAGGTACAAAATTGGTGAGAAAATGAACAATTGATTCGAGTCATATCATACAATTATGATTTGAATAAGAGGAAATAATAACTTGAATCAAGGTAATAAAATTTGGAAATGACATATTTGATTCGGATCACAATTTAGTAAATATGATTCAAATCAAGCAATCACGTGATTTAAGTCATTTTTATTTTACAAAAGTTTGTCTCATCCTAATTCGAGTCATATTCTTTTGTGATTCACAACAAATTGTTATGTGATTTAAATCTCACACTTTATTGATTTGAAACACAAATCCAATGTCAAAGTTCTTGATTTCAAATGAATTATTAATTTTAAACATAAATCTAATGTCAAAATTCTTGATTTCAAATGAGTTATTGGTTCGAATGAGCCATATTCTTGATTAAAATTATGCTTCAAAACACCTAGTTTTAATCTTTCTAACTTGTGATTCAAGGCACACAATATTGACCTGGACCAATTTGCTCAACTAAAAACAAATTGCAATGAATTTAAATCTTAATTAAGTGTGGGGATTAACTCAATGTACAATTCTATAATACAAAATCAAATTACAAATAAATCGATAAAAAAAATCATATTTACAAATATCGAAATTTACTGAACATCAAAATATATTTGAAATGCACTTGTACAAACAGAGCAATTTCACATTCAAGAATCAACTTGGGAAGATTCCGAGCTTTTCGAACCTCCCATACTTTACTTTCACCTTATCAAGGTGAACCTTCAAACTAATCTCCTTTACAACCTCTAGTACTTGAACAAGAGATGCTTCAAAAACTTCAACTATCGTAAGATAATCTAGGTATGCAAGGAGCCATTGACCTGTTAAACAATGTGTACAACTTGATGCTCCAACAAAACATCTAATTTCTAGCAGACATGATCATGACAATCGAAGAAAACTTATAATATTCCCATCCAAGAGATAATAATATATGAGGAGCATTTCTGAACACCAGTTTCGCACATACTAAAGCCAAACCTCACTAGAGCGCTCATCCACATAAACTTACTTCACGACCTCTAAGCCACCACCAAAGTAAGGGACTGCACTCCTCTAACCAACTCTGAGGGACTCCTCCAACCGATATTGTTCTAAAAAAAATGGCAAAGTAAGATCACAAGCAATACTATAATCATAACTATTATCGTAACTGTCAAACATCCATAACTCTACAAGGTTATAATCAACTGTCACATCTGGTCGTCTCACATTCTCTACAAAATGCCTTCATATCTCCAAAACCCCCTCACAAATATTAGATTTTATGACGTTATAATTCTAATCAACCATCCTAATAATCGTTATCCCCACAAAAGGAGAAGATAGATGAAAGAAGAGGAATCAATATTTGAGTATGTATGTTGATATGATGATAAGGCTAAACTTAAAGAAGAAAGCTCCTTAGAGAAGGGAAAAATGCAATTATAGAAGAAAGTAGAAGAAAAGATTGAGATTCAATTATTTATAAGGCTATACATCTACGCCGAATAGGCCATTATTACTAGGCAATAGCTTTGCGCTAACTAATGGGTGAGAGAGCATCCACGACTCATATTCTGTGCATGCAAGTTAATCAATGGTTCATATCATTTGCGTCTTCCTAAACCAACATCATCATTACGAAGCACTGAATGCTTTACGTGCCTCTAGATTAAAATGTGTTACACTTGAGAGACTTGCTCTCCAAGTATTGCATGTGAGGCTCACATTTTCATGTCTTACATAAGGGGCTCGCCTTTCCAAGTCTCAGTCGAAAAAATGATTATCGTCTCCCGTATTTAAATATCTTCTCCCTTTCCCAAATCCCATGCTTGAGAGACACCCTGAAAGACATCGACTCATGTCTAGTTTGAACCCAAAAAAACATAAAATGATGCAAAGAAGGTAAAGGAGACCTCATGTGGCGAGCCCGATCCAAATAGCTTCGCATAAGACAAGAGTCACTCGACCCAATACCATATGAATCTAGTTGAATATATACAAAGACGTGTCATGCCACACTATAGGAGTAAAAATGATCATTACCACAATTTTATGAAAAATTGCTATATATATATATATATATATATATATATATATATATATATATATATATATATATATATATATATATATATATATATATATATATATATATATATATATATAATTTGTCTTTTTGTGGCTGCAAGCAATAACGGGACAAAAACGTCCCAAATCAAACCCCGCGTGTGTGTGAATGCTTTACATGGTTTTCTTCCTCAATCAAGCCACCGTAACGAAATTAATTAAGTTTGATTAAATCCTAATAACCAAGTCTCTTTACACAGTAATTCAAATTTCAAAACCAACATTAAAAACTTAACAGTCAAACCTAAGACTTACTACAAATCATGAAACCAACAAATCTAAACCAGAAAACTCAATTTTCATTTTCCTCAACTCCACCGTTTCTTACAAGAAAAAACTCGCATATATAAATATATCACCAACACTCCTTTCATTTTCATTTGCTCATAAAAACATGGGTGAAGGTATAGTTGAAAAAGCTCTCGAAAGCTTAGGAAAAGGGTTCGATTTAACTTCGGATTTCAGACTCAAATTCTGCAAAGGTGAAGAGCGTTTGATTCTAATCAATGAAATCGAGAAAAGAGAACTCACAGTACCAGGTTTTGGATCCATTCAAGATGTTTCTGTTGATATCAAATGCGATAAAGGAGATCGCACGCGCTATCAATCCGATATCCTCACGTTTACGCAAGTAAGTTCATTGAGTCATTTCATCAAACACCTTGCATTCGTTCTTATTTTTACATTTAAAATATTAGATCTATATTTTCACATGAAATAAATTATTATATTTTTGGATTTTGGTGTTAGATGTCAGAGTTATTCAATAGGAAGAGTTCAATTCCTGGGAAAATTCCCAGTGGATATTTCAACAGTGTGTTTGGGTTTGATTATGGTTCATGGGCAAGTGAAGCAGCAAAGACAAAGTGTTTAGGTCTTGATGGATATTTGATAAGACTCTTCAATCTTCATATTGATCCATTTCCACTTCTTCTTTCTAAGAAAATTGTTCAAGCTGTTCCTTCTTCATGGGATCCTCCTGCACTTGCAAGGTAATATCATTTTCTTCCTTTTATTTTAATTTGAAATATTAAATATAAAGTATATGGGAATGAATTTCCCATAGGAAGATTAAATTAATGTAGAGTAAAAATTAGTTTCTGAAAACTTTATATAAAAATATAAAAGTTCTTCAATGGCATTACTTGGTAGTTTTCATGCGTCTGCGTGGCCCCACTTTTTAGTGGTGGACTCTTTCGCCAAGAATTCAAGTTTACCTTAATCATGCAAAGCATGAAGAAAGATAATTGGTGAAGTTAGGATAGACTCTGTGTGGTGTATTCATCATCCAATCACTATATATACTACTCCGTAACTATTTATATAAAAATAATAATATTTTATATTTATTTAGGAAAATTAATTTTGTTTTTGTTTTTTAATTATGTTTTATTAAAAAGACAGAAAAATGGTTTTGATCGATCATTGTTTATAGAAAAAATACGAGAGAAATCAAACTAAATATAAATTATGAAAAAATTGCATTTAAAAAAATGTTAAATGAAATATATATATATATATATATATATATATATATATATATATATATATATATATATATATATATATATATATATATATATATATATATATATATATATATATATATATATATATATATATATATATATATATATATATATATATATATATATATATCAAAATAAATTTAAATTAGTAGAAATATTCAGCAAGATTTCATGATAAATTTATAAAGTTCTAGAACATATCATACTTTTTGAGTAAAAAAAAGAGATAATTTTATAAGGTAGCTTATTATTTATAAAAAGTTAAATAATTAAAATTGAAATGGAAACTAATTTATAAATATAAAATGTATCTAATTAATATATTTATTTATTTGTTTTCAATTAAGATAAAAGAGATAAAAATTGATTTAAGAAAAAATTATAAGCTACAAAAATTAAAATTATTTGAATAATTTAGACTTAATTAAGTTTTAATCCTTCTTATTTTATATTTTATGTGATTTACGAAATTAATCGTTTTATTTTAAATTTAAACAGTTTTATCTCCTCAAACTTTTACAATTAAAATTAATGATGTTTTTATTTTTAAATAAAAAATTCTTTATAAAACATGATTATAAATTTTTTATGTGAAAATGTAAGAGTGAAATCAAAACAGTTTGAATTTAAAATTAAAAAAAAAAACTAATTTCATGAATTGGATAAAATTCAAAAACAAAAACTAGAATTTAATCATTCATATAAAAAGTTATAGATTTAAAAATAAACTATAAACTTATAAAAAATTATTGTTACTAAATAAATATTACCAACTTCTAAGTTAAAAGTTAAAAACTATTAACTTAAAATATGTAAATAAATAATAAATTAAAACATTACTTTAAATTTTCCAATTTTTTTAGATTAATTAAAAAAAGTTATAAAATAGTACTTTCGTTGTTCCAAATTATAAGTCTCTTTGACATAAAAATTAATTTCAAACTATAAATTATTATATCTTTTCAATATAATACTAATAACATTTCTCTTAATATATCATCAAAAATTTATTATTATATATTCTTTTTTAACTTTTTAAAACTTTTTTTCTTATATAATCATATTTTAATTCGTCTAAAATACAACAAAAAAAAAATAGACTGAGGCAGAATAGAATCAAGCTCACATCATTTGTCAACAATCTAAAATAGAACCATGAACCATCATTTGTCAAGAGTAAACAAAAATAGACCGCTCCAAATAAAAACAACAAACAACCGTCTGTCGGAGAACCACCTTAAATTTGTGCGGTGGCCTGAGGCAGAATGCAGAAAAACCTCCAATGAAACAAAAGAGTTTTCGCAATTGATTTAGATAGAAGTTATTTACTTAATAAAACTTAAACCGTTTGCAAATTTTGATTCTATCTCAATATTATTATGTAAGATTCTATTACTGGAGTTTGAATTCTGATATTCAGAGTTGCATATTTGAGTTTTTAGTAATGTGAATGTAAGTCATTAAACAAGATTTATGTAGGTCGAGCCAAAATAAAAAAGGAAAAGTGTCGCACGCTTAATTTTTTTTTAAAGTTGTGTGAAAATTTTGTTTGTGAAAATAATACAACTATTTTGTTTGTAATATAGTAGTCGTGTACATGCTGAGTATTAAAATAATACAACTAGTTTATTAAATGATAAATATATGATAATTCAAATATATTAGTTATTCAATATTTTTTTTAATAATAGAAATGAGAAAGAATATTTTATAAAAATTAGATATGTGATGAAATCACCTAACATGCTTAGCCATCTAAGTTGTAGGTGAAAGAAACCACGTTGATGGCTTTCTTAATTTTGAAATAAATGCACAAAAGACGTCTGAATATAAAAGATTATCTTGATAGGAAATATGTTAGCGTTACATCAAAATATTACATGTAGTATTTGATTTTAAATTAATTCTATACTAGATTGATTTTATTATTGAGTGCTAGTCAACTTCGTTACATCATTGCTTTCAAGTGGAGTTCTTTAAATACGTTACTAGTTGATGTGAACGGGTCTGCCAAACTTAATAAAATGTACTGTGTTTGTTTGTTATTGCGTTGGAATGGTTCCAAGTTCCAATCGTGCGTTTAGGCTAATAATGCTATAGAATATAGATCAGGAGTTTTTTACTATACTATCTCGTATCTATCTGAAAATTAAATACTATAATACTTTATTTTTTTAAAAAAAAATTTCAATATACTCTCTAACTCTCTATAGTATATATTTTCGTTCACTGGATTGTCGAGTACAAGAAGGATTTACATGTAAGAAGATGTTCGTCTAATAAATGGACGAAAATCTGACTATTTTATAATTAATTAAACAATATTTAAATTTAAAAAAAATTAAAAAAGTAATAAAATAAAAAGATGCATACCAACTCATTGGATGAGCACCTACGCGCATGAAAATCCTTCTTGTGCTCGCCAATCCAGTGGACGAACATGTACGGCACTGAGAGTATGTTGAAATGTTTTTTAAAAATAAGATATTATGGGATTTAATTTTGAGATACAAGGTACTATAATAAAAAATGCATAAGAACTCTAGAATGAAAGATGCATGAGCATAAGCTTCACTAAACATTTCTAATTGAAATTTTCTTTTTGAGTGGATGAGGTAATTAAATTATTTTAGAGAATTTAAAATTTTAATTAATTTGAATGATTTAATTGAAATTTATTTATTTTTTATTTTATTTTATTTAAATTTAATATTAAAATGATTCATTGTTATATTTTTGAAATATTTAGGCTAAATTTGAAGTATAAAAAATAAGGATCAATTCGCAAATTTTAAAAATTTAAAAGGACTCATTTGTAAAATTTGAAAATTTTTAAAGGCTTATTTGCAGTTTTTTAAAAAATTTGGAGGTGAATTTGAAATTTTAATAAAATTTAAGGATCATCTTACAAAAATTAAAAAATTAATAATAAACAATTTAACATTTACATTATACAGGAAAATTGTTATTAGTGTCAATTGAAAATTTTTAAATATTTCATAAATTTATATTATTTTAACAATTTTTCATATTTTTTGTTCAAACAATAGATTTTGATCAAATTATTTTAAATTTTCTTAAATTATTATATTCCCTTATTAAAATGTTTTATTCAAACACTTAAATTTGATTGAGTCCCTAATGTAATGTTTTTTTTTTTGAGAATTTAAAATACTTTGTACAAAAAATTTTGTTTGTATAAAAAATATAAAAACATATAAAATTAAAGAACTTGAATTTCAAATTGGTTATAATTATTATTTTAAATTTTACAATTTGGTCCTTATATTTTCTAAAATTTTAAAATTAATCCCTAAAATTTTATAAAAATTTGCAAATTGGTCTTTAACGATTTTCAAATTAATCCTTTTAAAATTGCAACTTAATTCCTATTTTTCAATTTATCCCCAAAAATTTTAAAATTTATAAAAGTAACCTCAAAATTTTAATAATAAATGATTTGAATATTTTATAAAAAACATTAAAAAATAAATAAATAATAATTTAATTATTTGAATTGTTTAAAATTCTAAATTCATTCAAAATTTTCAATTAACTCATTCAAACTAATAAAATAAAAATTAGTTATTGCATATTTTTGACACAGACATGATATAACATTTAAATAACAAGATTATTTTTGTGATATATTTTGATCCTTTTTCAAAATTATTTTGTAATATTATGAAAATTTAAAAATCCTAAAAATAAAAACAAATAATTGAACATTTTTTAAAAAAAATTGTTGACACTATAAAAAATTTCAACATTTAAAACAATAATGAGTAACTAATAATTATATTATATATATTTATTAATTAAAGAAAGTTATATTGTGTATTAAATGTAAATAAAAAAATACCTCGAACATATAATTATATTTAAATTGTTAAAAGTTTAAATTAGTTTTCATAGTTTTTATAATTTTAGTAGTTATTTAATTTTAAATACTCTAATTTTACTAGATTTTAGTTTTTTAAGATTCTATAAATTACAAAATTACATTTGTGACATAATCATACATATTTTTTTAAAATTCTTTTTTATTATTAATATTTTATTTAATATCAAATCATGTTTTATTTTATTAAATTTATTTTGTTAATATTTAAAATTAAATATATTAGGAGAAATAAGGAAAATAAAATTGTTCTATATCTAAAAATATTGAATATTCCGATATCTTGAAGTTTAATTGAATATACATATCAATTATTTGACTTCCCTATATTGGTATCCAACCATATTTCAGGATACATAAACAAATTCTAAAACCATTTGGAAGTAACAATTATTTTAAATTTTTATGGTCATTTTGGTTATACCTATTCAATTCTATACTCTAATTACACTAATATCTTTTATTTTATATTTATCTATACCTATATATAAAGACAAAACATGATTTTGGTGTAACCTTTTTTTTTTTTAAATATACCCTTTTTCAATTTTTATTTTAAATCTCAAATTCTCTTTCTAATAAAGGGTGGTTATGTGATTATTTATCAGTTTTTTCATCATTATCTATTATTACTATTTTATAAATAATAAATAAAAATAATAATATGATTTATATTTTACACGCGTGAGCATTATAAAAAGCGGGCAGACGGGCACGTGGGTGATTGTCTGGACGCTAGTGGTAATATAAAATTAACACATTTGAATATGAAATTCAAACATGACGAAACTTGATGAATGTAGTAAGTAGTAGTAATAATTGCTTTTCAAAATATAGAAACTACACTTGCTTTGAAGCTTCTTAATGGATGTTGTTGAAATATTAACTTTTTTAATCAGATTCATAGAAAACTTTGGTACTCACATCCTTGTGGGGCTTAGCATTGGAGGCAAAGATTTATTGCTAGTCAAGCAAGACGTGTCTTCCAATTTGGAACCATCAGAGCTCAAAAATCACTTGGATGAGCTTGGAGATCAGTTATTTAGTGGCACATGCAATTTCCTTCCCAAAAAGAAAGATCAGAAACACAAGGTTAATTCATTATCTTTATGTGATTATTAATTAAGCTAAAGTTATGCAAATAAGAACAACTAATAAGCCTCTATAGTTTTGCATTACTTGACTTGTTTTGAATAATCACAATGCGATTTATCTTAAAACACAGATTCCACCCGCCTTCGATGTCTTTGGCCCACAAATCGCTGCCTTCAGCGGCTCTACATCAGTGTGCGCAAAAGATGTATGTTAATTTCCTAACTGACGCATGACAGAATTTCAAGCCTGTTTTTGTGTTCTTGGAAAAGCACACGGTTTTGCTATCTTTACGAGTATTTGAACATTGAATTAATATTTCAGGGAATAACAGTGATATGTGCAAAGAGGGGAGGGGATACACAAGTAAGCAGCCATAGTGAATGGCTTCTCACAGTTCCTAACAAACCAGATGCAGTTGATTTTAGCTTCATTCCAATCACTTCTCTTCTTAAAGGTGCTCCTGGTAGGGGCTTCCTATCCCATGCCATCAACCTCTATCTTAGATGTAAGTAATTTAGTTTACTTTATCCTAAATAAGTTCATGCATAAATTTTAGAAAATGGTTAAACATGTGATTATATTAGAACAACCACTAGTAACAAAGAACACGATACACAACTACCAAGTATTGTCTGCTTTGGGTATTAGAACCCTCATGGCTTTGTCCAAGGCGTCTCGTTAGATTGAGGTATATGAGTCTGCGCCATTGCGGTTACAAGGTATTATCTGCTTTAGGAGCAAGAACTCTAACAACTTTTTCCTTTAGAAAAGGCACCTCGTTGGGTTTAAGTATATTAGTGTTGCATATAAACTTATCCTTAGCCTTGATTCTCAAGTAATGTGGAACTATTTTAGCCTGTCCGGAACATAATGTATACAGCGGCTACGAGCCATACTCAACCGATTCAAAACTTTGACAAAAATTTTGATTTAGACAATTTTGGGTGAAAGAGAATGGACAATCAAGACAAGTTCTTAAAAATCTAGATAAGCTAATGATGTCAAATTTTCCATACTTTATTGACTTCCAAGCACACAAACCTTTTGGGTCCCATTCATAATGTTTATAGTTATTCATGAGCATGTTCTCAATTCATGGTTGGTGAACTAATAAGAAGAAATTAAATTGATATGTAATACAGATAAGCCTCCAGTGTCAGATTTAGCGTACTTTCTTGACTATCAAGCACACAAGCTTTGGGCTCCTGTTCACAATGATCTTCCTCTTGGCCCAAGTACAAACATAACCACAGTTTCACCTTTTCTCACACTCAGCATGATGGGTCCCAAACTTTATGTAAACACTGATAAGGTACCTTCATTTCAAACCTTTCCACATCAGTAACAAGACTTTGATTTCATGTTCTTAATTCTTATATGCCAAAGTTTCTTTCTTGCTCAATCATAATAGGTTACAGTTGGCAAAAGACCAATCACGGGAATGCGTTTGTTTCTCGAAGGCATGAAATGCAACAGATTAGCCATACATTTAGAACATCTATTAAACACTCCGACAATGCTTATCAATAAAATCGAGGACACGACAATATGGTCGGAAGAAATAAGCGATAACCGTTTCTTTGAATCGATAAACGGGAAGAAATTTTCTCATGTATGTACAGCGCCGGTGAAATACAATCCTGACTGGAGCACTGAAAAAAATGTGACATTCATTGTGACAGGAGCTCAGCTTCATGTGAAGAAACATGACACAAAGAGTGTCCTTCATCTGAGGTTATTGTTCTCCAAGGTATCAAATTGTTTTGTTGTGAAATCAAATTGGACACAAGGCTCTTCCAGATTGTCTCAGAAATCTGGAATTTTCTCAGCATTAATAAGCACATCAATTTCTAATAAAGACCAAAAGAAACCAACAGTGGTTATGGATTCAAGTGTGTTTCCAACAGGACCTCCAGTACCTGTACAAACACAAAAAATGTTGAAATTTGTGGACACATCACAGTTATGTAAAGGGCCACAAGACACTCCTGGTCATTGGTTGGTTACTGGGGCAAGATTGGTTATGGACAAAGGTAAGATATGTTTGTGGGCTAAGTTCTCTTTGTTAAATACTGGCCTATGAACAAGTATTTCAAATATGTAAATTTTCACATATAGTATATACCAACAAATTGGATATACCTTTGCATAATTAATATATCTAGCTGTATAAAAGAGGTAGTTATAGGATCATTATTTCTTTTATTGCTTTTGTAAGTAGCTTTCAACAAAATCAGAGATTTACAATATTGTATTTGTATATTTTGTAATGAATTATATTTCTAAGCATGCTGCTCTTTAGTTTGAGTCCTCCTTATCTATAGTCTATATTTTTCAATAAACATAACCGATTTATGAGAATTTAACTTGTCATCTCCATTTATACCTCGCATCTTTTATAATTTTAAAAATGTCCTTGTTATTATTTACCAACCAAATTTATTTTTCTTTCACAACTTTTACTCTTACTAACGTATAAGAAACAAAATTTTTGGCAGTACAATTGAAATTTCTAATACGTACTTTTTTGCATTTTAAAATTTTTTCACATTTATATTAGACATTTGAAATTTTCCTGTGAAAAATACCGGATATTTTAAAAAATCAGATATTTTTGTAAAAAATCTTAAACCCATAGCAGAAATTGTAAAAATTTTCGGGGAGAAACAAAAACTTCCGCAAATTTAATATTTTTTGAATACCCAAAATTTCCAAATTTTCCATATACCGAAAATTTTGCATATAAATCAAATTTCTGGTAACAATACAAAAAAATAGAAAAAAATGTTTTATTTGTGTGGTCCGGAGCCGACAAGGTCGTCTACAAATTTGTGCATAGATTTTACGCGATTCTTCACCACTGACGCAATATGCTTTCTATGTAACAAATTTAATTTAAATATTTTCCCGCCTCTGTATGATATTGATAATATACTTTTTATTAGGGGTGTACAAATCCAAACAAAAATCGGAAACCGATCCAAAAAAACATTAAAAAAAAAATGAAAATTACTGGATATGTCTAGATGTCATACGGTTCGGATCAGATTTTGAATTGATTTTTAACAATCGATCCAAATTTAATTAGATTTTTATTTAGGTTTATTTAAATAGTTAATTTTATTTTAATTCATTTATCACATTTTTATTTTTTTATAATATTTAAAATTTATTTATTTTTATCTCTTTTTGGAAACACTTAGTCATTAAGTCTTAAAAAGTTTTTGTTACTATTAACTCCATGTTTTGCATTGCATCAGAGGACAAGAGTGACCGACAGAGGGGCAGCGCTTTTACCTCTAATGTCTCTCAGCAAATACACAAATCCCAAGCTCTTATTAAAAAAAAGTTTAAAACACATTTTAAAATTAATAAAGAGGAACGAATGGTGAGGGTTTTAAGGGACCAATTTCATTAACATATCACCAGTGGGATTCAGACGCGCAGGGAAAAAAAACTTTTCCTCAAAAATCTCACGAGAAAAATAGAGGGGAGTGGGGTTGGCTTATTTATATATATATATATATATATATATATATATATATATATATATATATATATATATATATATATATATATATATATATATATATATATATATATATATATATATATATATATATATATATATATATATATATATATATATATATATATATATATATATATATATATATATATATATATATATATATATATATATATATATATATATATATATATATATATATATATATATATATATATATATATATATATATATATATATATATATATGACTTCATAAAAGGTGGAATGACAAAAGAATAACAACTTCATTTTCGGTCTTCTTCCCAACGACACAACATCTTCACTTTCTCTCATATTCAACCATACTCCATGCGATCTGAATCAATGAGACACACCAATCCAGAAATAAAACGATGCATCCGTTAGCCAATGATCCACCCTTAATTTAAAAAAAAGAAGAGAAAAATAACAAAGTTATAGGTGATGGTTTTTTCCCTTCATTTTTCATGTTAAGAACCACTTCCTACATGGCAACGTTTCATCTTCTTTAACTTCATAACCTCATCCATCTATTTTTTTTCCTTCTTCCACTTTATATAACCTCCATATATTTCCTTTTTATCATCATCATTACTACTCTATCTTCCACTTTGAATCCATCATAACCTTCTTCAAACTCTCTGGCAGCCACTGAAAACCACTGCTTGAACTTCAAACCAAACACGTTTAACACTACAAACATTCCACCAACTTACCTCCTTCAAACCTTAACCAAACATCACCTCCCTCATGGATAACCTATCTTCACTTTCTCAAGAGACCACCTGTCTCGGACTGGGCCCATGAATGACCCACTGTCAAGCACAGTCTAGTCCAGCTCAGCATTGAAGAAGGCCTAACACAAAGACCCAATTCATGGTAGCTGTCAGAGAGCACATTCCTCACGTGCTCCTCACTCGAGGACATGTGGCCAACTGATCCTACTCACCCTGCAAAAATGTTCTGCCCTCCGTAACGGCCAAGTCTTCCACTTCGGGGAATGCGAGGCAGTTGATACAAGATGAAGAGCACGAGCTGCCCATCCCTACTTTCACGTAGAAATCCTGGCAGTCATCTATTATTAACCTGATTACCTTGAAGGTGAGAAAATACTTAGAGGGGGGGGGGGTTGAATAAGTATGTAGAAAAGCATAGTAATAAAAACTCAAGGATTTTTATCCTGGTTCGTTGAACTCAACTACTCCAGTCCACCCTATCAAGAGTGATTTGTTTTTCTCAAACAAGGACTTAATCCATTATTAAATCAACTGATGACAATAGTAAACACTAAGAACAACTGTTCAAAGTCTTCTCAAGAACTACTGATCCTAACTGAATCTTCTTAAGGTTCTTTTACAATCAAATGTAATAATAATACAAGTGTTTAATTTGCTTCTAATAAAGCTTTATCACAACTGTGATTTTTCACTTAAGATTAAGAATAATGAAATAAATTCAGCAAATGAGTATAAGTTGTATGAGAGCTTGTAATGAATTCTTTCAAGTATTTCGTCAACTAAAGAAGATGAATGGAGTCTTGCTTTTATAGGCACAGAGGTCCAAGTAGCTTTTCACGTTGAAGGTTGTGTACTAAAAAGGTCTGAGCCTTTTTGTCTTCACATCACATGACCTTTCCTAGAAGTAGAATGCACAGAAAAATCCTTTTTGTCTGTGTTCTTGTGTCTAGCATAAATGAGGAAAGAGTCGTTTGGTCATTCCAACGGACATAACTTTGAATTCTTCTTCAACAAGTTTCAGCAAGTATCATCAGAGTCTAGATTGATCAGAGCCTTCTGATGTTCATCAGAGTTTGCTGAATCAGAGTCTTTACAGCAGGTGTGCTTTCAGCGTGTAATTGTTCAGAGCAGAGTTTGGGATCAGATCCTCAGTATTGGCAGCGTTAGTACTATCAGAGTCTTTTGAAATAACTGTGCTTGAAACTCTTCATACAAAATTCTTCAACGCTTCAGATGCTTCTGGCTTCTGCTTCAAATTCTTATGTAGCTCCTGCTTCAGATCCTTCTGTAGACAGCACTCAGAATCTTCTGGAGGCAGCGTTCAGAATCTTCTAAAAGATGCTTCTGACGTTTCAGAGCCTTGCATAATTTTCATGTTCAGATCTAATTTGCTTCCAGAATAATATTCACTTTAATATCTACAACAAACATTCTTAAGAATTTTTTTAGAGTATATAATTCTTTAATACAAAATTTTATAAGAGTTATCATCAAAGCATAGAGATATTATTAAGAACCAATCTGTGTTCTAACAATCTCCCCCTTTTTCATGATGACAAAAACATAGGAAATTTGTTTTTGAACTTGGATATCCATTTTTCCTTGATGGATCTGGATATCCACTTTGGTTCTATGGATTTTGGATGTCTTAAGTCTTGTTTGGCTAAAACCAAGAAAAATCACTTTTCCCACATAAACACTTTTTCAAAAAGCACTTTTTCAAAAAAATCACTTTTTCTCTCTCTCTTGGAAACAAACTAGACAGATTATTGTCGGGTCCGAAAAGTCAAAAGTTGAAGAATTGGACGCGGAGACAATTAGGCTTTTTAGGAAAATTATTAGAAATTAATTTGGATGTGTAATTGTCTTTGTCTGCTCCTGCTTCTTGGCTTCTGCTTCAGAGGTTAACTTACTTCGGACTTCACTCTTCAGAGGATGGCACTTCGGAGTCTGCTTCTTGGCTTCTGAACCTTCAGAGTCTGGGTCACGAGAGGCTGACTTTCTTTTAAGTTGACTTCTACAGAGTCTGGATCTTCTGTCAGAGCCCGAGTCTTCAAAAGTGATCTTTAGAGCTAGAGTCTGATCTTCAGATGCAGATTCCTCAAGCATATCTTCATTTATTCTTAATGATTATATTCCTACAAACTTAAACAAATGTTAGAATACCCAATTTTTGAAAAATACTTTATTATCACAAAAACCTAAGGGAAATGGTATTAACCAATTTTGTTCCAACAATCTCCCCCTTTTGATGATGACAAATACAAGTATTTAAGAATTATGGTTGTTAATTTAATTAACATGTTGAGTTCAAGGTCTGACGTTTTTAAGCTCCCTCTGAATCTGATAGTCTATAGGGTGAGGTTTGTAAGCTCCCCTAAGTTCTATCCAGGCTAATTAAATTCCATTAATAGCACAATAACATTCATCTTCAAAATTTAAGCACAGTAATAATGATCAGCAAATTTAGGTGCTTAAATACTCTTTATCTCTCTCCTTTTTGTCATAAACAAAAGACATAAAATAAGGGGAAAAAAAGATAATGAAGAAAAATAATGTATAGGATAATAGTTTTGAATAAAAATGAGTTAAAATCAGTCTTTACTTCCCTCTAGTTAAAGAAACTTTTGAAAAATATTGGGCTAGTATGGTTGATAAAAACATCTTTGATTTTCAAGATGGTCAAATCTCGGTTCTGCCAACTGAGCATAGAAAAATAGGGAATAAAACTAGGAAGACGTGCCTGAAGATCAAGACCAGCTTCTCTTTCCTGCATCCATTGGGCCCAAATATCAAAAATGATTAGGCATTATCAACAAGATCACATTTCTCTTCTTCCAAACTCCTCTTTTTAAGCAGCATGGCAAGCCAAAGCAGTATAAGAATTTGAGAAGAGATTTTGCTAAGGAGATTAGCAAGCTTATGAAGAAGAAAAAGAGGGAAGAGAAAATCAAATTTGTTGAGGATGCGAAAGCTCAGAAAGCCATATAAACCGAAGGTACAAGCACATCTGTCGGGGCCTCCAAGATAGGGAGAACTATGGAGAAAACAAGGAAGAACCCCACAAGGAAAAAGGAACCTGCTGAAGACTTTGAATGTAAATGAGATGAGACTTTGAATTGATTCTAGAATGTTAAACTATTTTTTAGTTAAATAACTGGAAGCAGTATTATCACAGAAGATGAGAATACTGTTTTCACAAATATGATAATCTTCCAACTGATATTTCATCGAGATGAGCTGTGCGCATCACTTAGCAATTGGGATGTATTATACTTCTATTGTGGACAAAGCAATAGTTGCTTGTTTTTTACTAGCCCTTGATATTAGGTTTTCACATATGAATTGACAATTTTCACCAGTGAATTTCCTTTCAATTCTATCCCTAACATATTTAGTATCACAAAATCTAACTAGCTTGTAATCTATGGATTTTTTTATAAGGCAGACCTATATTAGTTGTTCCCTTTAGATACGTAAAGATCCTTTATTACAACAGTTAAGTGAGTCTCTATAGGATCTGATTGGAATCTTGCACACATACACACACTGAACAAAATATTTGGCCTAGAAGTTATTAGTAAGAAACCAATCATACCTATATACAACTTCTGACAGGCTTTATAGTTTTCTGCTTCTTTGTTCAGGTTGCATGTTGGAGGCATATAAGTATTCATAACTTTGTAGTCTTCAAGCTTGAACTTCTTCAAAAGCTCTTTAATGTATTTAGATTGATAAAAATAGACTCCTTCTTTGCTTTGATTGATATAAAATCCAAGGAATAACTTCAATTCCTCCATCATGCTCATCTCAAATTAAGTATACATAGTTTCAGAAAATTTTTCTTGCTGATTGTAGCCTTGAGCTACCAGTTTAACTTTATTTCTTACCACCTCTCTTTGCTTATTCAACTTGTTTCTAAACATCCATTTTGTTCCAATGATGTTCTTCTGATGATGTATGGGAACCAAATCCCACATACCATTTCTTTGAAGTTGGTTTAATTATTCTTGCGTTGCTATAATCCATTAATCGTCTGATAAGGCTTCTTCAACATAAGTTATTTATATCATGGAGATAAGTTCTAACATTGAGTGCTCTATTCTGAATGCAAATCTTGTTTTCAGAGGACTATCTTTGTTTCCAATGATTAACTCTTTTGGATGAGAAGACTTGTATTTGAAGGATTTTATGGATTGTGTAGCTTCTTGAGAATCACAAAGAGCTTCTTTCGAACTTGCTTCCTCTAGTTGTGTTTCAGAAGTTGAGCTTGGTTCTATACTATCAGCTTCTGAACATTTGGCTTCTGATCCTCTAGCTTCTAAACATTCAGCTTCAGAAGGAATTATGACTTCTGATCTACCATCTTTTAGAGAGACTTTTGATATGAACTACTAAAAAGTTTTCAACTAGTTCTGACATTTTTCTGCCAAGCTCTTTATCATCAAATATGGTAAGTATAGACTCTTCAACCATCCTGATTTCAGAGTTATACAACTTTGTGCATCTTCTGATCTATTAATGAGATTGTTCTTTGAGGAATAACTTTGTTCCAACAATGCTCTTTTGAAAAACATCATGAGCCATTTCTGAGACCATATTAGCTAGATGAACTTTAGAGATAGGTCAAGCATTTGAAACACCAACTTCTGATTAATCAAATTTATTCCTCCCAGTACCAGTGATCTCTCCCAACTGGTTTCTTCCAGATTCCACATTTTCTTCCTCCTTCTGTGTTAGGATCTAGGACATATGTTTTTCTTTTGTTGTATGTTATAGTTAGCCACTCTCTTGGAACTGAGACTATTGCTCTGTTCTTTCCTTTCAGCACATTTGCAGCAAAAATAATCTCATTATTTGGTACCTATACTCTTATGTAGGGGGTGGTAAAACGGACCGTGGCCCACCGGGCCGACCTGCACACTCGCTAAAAAATGGTTCCTCTCAAATATGAGTGCTCTAACATATGTTAGAATACCCAATTGTTCTTGATGATTATACTCTTGCAAACTTAAACATATGCTAGAATACTCAATTGTTTTTTAAATACTTTGTTATCATTAAAATCTAATGGATAAAATATTAACCAATTTTATTCCAATAAATTATATGCATACATAGTTCCTCTTATTAAGCATCTCACCCTTATAGGTCTCAATGCTCAAAAAATTGCGTACATGTCCAAAAATTTAATCGAATCTTTACCCGCACTTAGGAGAACATAAATATGGACCAAACAGAACATGCCGACTCTCGACACATCCAATTGATAGCTAATACATTTCAAATACAAAAACTATAAATAATCGCTTTCAAACCATACGTAGGCGCTCTCAGATAAATAATCTGCTTACAACCACCCCACCTAAAGTTATTGAATATTATACCCAACAAATACAAGATATATATTGCAACTATGAGTGCTCTAACACATACAGAGTTAGCAAATATTACACCCAACAAGTACAAAATAGTTTTAAAATAATTTTGAATGACACATTGTTTGATTTTATAGATAAATAGATTTCTAATAAAAATCTTATACTTGAAAATTTAAATAAATTTGCCCTCGTTCAAAATGGTTATGTGAGATACTTAAGCATTAAGCATTATTTCTCACACACTAAATCAATTAATATCATACTCAATTTACACCGTAGAGTATTGTAAATTGTTACACCGTCCAATTTTCCAGAAATTACAATGTCTTGGAAAATATAACTCATTTTAATCTTTTATTATAGTAATGTTTTAAATAGTTTTCGATACGATTTTAATTTTAATTTTTAACTGTTTTTTTTTAAATTAATGCTATTTACATCATTTTAAATTTTCCATTTTTTAATTTTATTTATTAAATTACTTCACAATCCTATTATTTTTAGAAGAAAATTGATTTAAATAAATTAAGGTACTGTGTATCCTTGTGTAACAATTTCCAAAAAGTAAATTAGTTAATTAAAGTTTATTATTGTTAGGAAAAAGAATAAAACTTTCGATTCCCAATGAAATGAAGAATAATATATAAATGGTAAAATATCACAATCAAGAATAATATTTTCGATAAATAAGTCAATGGATACGCAGGTGATTGTGTGGAATTTGTTACCTCTCCTTGTTCTTCTCTTCGCGTTCTACTTCTTCTTTCTTCGCAGATCTAGCATGGCCGAAAAATCCTCCAAATCCATATATGATTTCACTGTCAAGGTTCGTTTTTTATTTCCTTTTTTGTTTTTTTGAATTTTGATTTTAAATTGTTGTCTGATTATGCCCAGTTGTGTTTTTGTGTGTTTTTTAATCTAATTGATTGAAAAGATTGTATCTTGGTTTGCCCAATTGTTGTTGTACTTGAATTTCTTAATGGGTCAATGGAATTTTCAAATTGGTTGAATTTGATTTGATGTTTGTTTTATAATTGCAGAATATCAGTGGAAATGATGTGAGTCTGAGTGAATACAGTGGGAAGGTTCTACTTGTTGTCAATGTTGCTTCACAATGGTAACTTTATAGTTCATTCATACTCATGAACTATTTTTGTGTTATTTTTGAATTTCTATTCAAATTATTTATTTCTTATGGTTTATCTAATTGAGTGTTTGATGCTTGATGTTATTCTTTGGTACTGGAATTTATTTAGTTCATATAAAAGAACACGGATCTTTTAGTACGATAATCTATAAATTCTAAAGCCACCGAAAAGCTATAGTTTGTAGGATTAAATCAATGACTTATGTGTTGGATGATGCTAAGCAAATTTTTAGTTTCTTATTAACAGAAACTACTGCAAAAGATAGCTCGGTATATAACATTAGTAATATTTTGTGTGCATCTTTTTGTTGATCGCGATAAGTGTCACGATCGATGTTTATCTATCACGATAAGTGTTAAAATTCTAATATTCTAATTCGTTGCTGCAGTGGTTTGACACAAACAAATTACAAAGAGTTGAATGAGTTATATGAGAAGCACAAGAATAACGGTATGACACTTATGCCATGGACAAAAATGAAAGAGTTGAATGAGTTACACTGATACTACTGATTGTGATTTGTCTGTAGGCTTTGAAATCTTGGCATTTCCGTGCAACCAGTTTCGTTCACAGGAACCAGGATCCAGTGAAGAAATTCAGAATGTTGTCTGCACAAAGTTCAAAGCTGAATTTCCAATTTTCGAAAAGGTGATTACGTTGATTTTTTATTCAAGCTCTCTAATTTGCTTGCTTTTTTATTTTATTTCAATGAATTGTGGAAGCGTTCGGTTCGGTATTAAAAGATGTGCTGGTTTATATGGAAATCACTCTGAAATAGTCATTATATTGTAGGTTGAAGTTAATGGAAAGAATGCAGACCCTCTTTACAAGTTTTTGAAGGATCAGAAAGGTGGAATATTTGGAGATGGCATTAAGTGGAACTTCACCAAATTCTTGGTAAACAAAGAAGGGAAGGTTGTCGAGAGATATGCTCCTACCACTTCTCCTCTCAAAATTGAGGTTAGATTCATTTTTAGCAAGGTTTCTATGTACTATTCTTCAACATTTAATTATAATCAAACCCCTTTGTCATCTGTGCCGCGATTACATGTTAATAAGCTATATTTTTCTCGTTACTTCTTGCAGAAGGACATCGCGAAACTTTTAAAGTCTTGAGTACTGCACTTGTATGTTTCAGAGGTTAGTTTTTGCAGTCAATTATTTTCACCTTTTCCCTATCTTCTCGATGATCAATACTTTTTGTAACTCAAACAAATTTTGTTCAATTCTTTGTCCTTATGTTTTTTTACAGGACATGGAGAATCTGTTCAATGCTTTCATAGGACAAGGAACTTCACTAAAGCCTTTGCTATTTATCCCTAGTTAAGTTATGGCCTGAAAAATACTTATTAAGTTTGTGTGTCTGGACTATGCAATAAGAACAAATTGGTAGTGTTACTATATTAGCAAAATAACAAAACCATGTATCAGAATGCATGTTACTTTATTTCATATGGCTAGTTATTTCATCCAAAAATTTTAAGTCCTTACGTATACGAGTCACATCTCTTATATATCTAACATCTCTATTTCTAGTTTGATGTTGGACTTAATTAATCACACTTGAATCAAATAACCTCTTCTACAAGTGTATGTCATTCACATCCAGTCATTGACAACACATCTCAATTCAAAATTATAAGACATAATGTATATGAATTATCCATGCCATACTTGATCGTTAGAGTGCTTGTAAGGTATATCACTCTTATGTGGAGAAACCAATCAACCATCACCCATTTTATAGTTTAATTAACAATTAGGCCACAAGTCGGATCATATGTGACCACTTTTTATTTTATTTTCATAACTCTTTTGGTTTAAGATCCACATCAAGTTGAAGACACTACATCATTGTCATTGTCTCTAGAGTTATCCTGAATCAACATTAGAATCAAGAAATCCTTTCTCAGAATAGAGAAATTTCTCTTGAAATATAGAGGTCCAACAAATTCCACAATTCAACAACACTCATTAGACCAAAAACTCATTCCTCATTCGTGGCCTGTTAGCGGCTGTCCAAAACCTGTCCTAAGTGATTATAGAACAAGGCGAACATTTGGCTCGTGGTGAGAACAAACAATGCGAACTTTTGTTGATCGAAATAGAAAACCTGAACCCTCATTATCATATATAATTACTTGCCTAAAGGAGATAACCATTTCATTTGTTAAAAGCCAGGATCCACACCGTAATGACTATTCTCAATCCCTATTGCACAAATTAAAGCGTATTGTACCACCTCACACAAGTGAGAGGAAATATGACCTCATTTGTTAAAGACTATGAGATGGTAAGATAAACCTAAATAATGTGTGGCAAATCAAAATACAATTAAGGAAACAGAAACTTGAGTTTTTATCTGTCACACGTTCTTTGCGAATATTGTATCACCTCACATCTTTTGGAGTCTATTTCCTCTCACTTGAGTATGAGGTTGCCATCTCTCTTGAAATATGTGTACTAAGATGTAGAACTTCTCATCCCTTTTCATTAAAGGGTAATTAAGAGCTACAATGAGAAGTATTTAACCTTTTGAAAAAGTGTCGATATTGGGTTGTATTGGACGAATCCATTATGAAATAGAGAATGAAAATTACATAAACAAAAAGTATGACAAAAGAAACTCAATGTCAGTTATATATTTATTTGGAGGCCCAACATTAGGCATAATAATGCAACCTCATGTAAATAATCTAAAAACTAGGGAGGTCCGTATGAGGTCTAATCAAGTATATGAAATAGAGCACACACACTAATGACCTAAAATATGCAGGTGACTCTGATTCACAGTACTAGAGACAAAAAAAATTAAATAAATGGATTCCCTTTACTTTTGTTTTTTGTATGAAAAAGGTAATCATCCCATCCAATAAGAAAAAGCTTAAGAAGTACTACAATCAAAAGATCAAGGTGTTGGATGCATAATGCTTGAATGGATATAAAAGTAAGTTTTCAATATCAATAGGCATACATGTTTTTAGAAATGTGCATTTCTAGTCAGACATGAAAATTAAGGTCTCAATTCCACTGACCTTATGATGACATTTAAAGAAGAAGGTTACAAAGGGAAGATGATGACAAAATAACCCTGAGTAAAATTGAGGACAAGAAAAGAGAGATCTGAGAACAAGGAAGACAAAAACTTGACGACACTTACCAAAAATTATCTTCCTTTTGTATTTTGTTTTAACCAGCCAACGAGTCTTAATGCGTTTTTTTGACATGTTTCCCAATGCCCTGCTAGATGGGATAACTTTGCCGATACAACCAAGCTCCATATAGAAGACCACAAACTGATTCTTCAAGTACAACTCTTCAAAGAACACATATCCTTCCTTGTAAACATATGAGCCCACCCCCAATCAAGTAATGACTTTGAGTCTAATACTTGTGAAAGATGTCCGAGCCAGTAGAGGAGGAACCAGGTTCTAAGATTTAGATCTTCGTGCGCGCCTCCTCGACCAGAGGAGCAATTAGGTAAAAGCGACTTCGAAATGCTTCATGCTGGTAGAGTAAGCCTCAAAATACTTCATATGTTGCCTCACGAAAAGTATACCATAATTGTTTGCATAATTGTAATTGTTTTGAACTCTGCTGACCATTGAGATCTTCTAAAAAGTGGCTCGAAAGCACTTGAGTACTATAAAGAAGGAGAAACATCATTGCTAGCTAGGGAATACATGCATGTTAGTCACTCTTTGCATTACATTACGACTTCCAAAAAAAAAGAATTTGATGCGTCCATTCTCGAGAACGACAACATCCCATATAGGAATTCCACGTCCACGGATCTCGTGTCCGAGTAATGATGCATGTCACAAACCCTCACTCTACGAAGTAGAGAAAAAGGCTTAAAGACAATAGTTTCAGACCGTTCACAAGGCCTAAAAGGCAAATACCTAATTACGAAATAACAAACTACTAAACACAGAATATGTATACCTTTTTCCTTCGAGTCACATGTAACCTCTCACGAGAACATCATGTTAATAGTTCATATCAATCCAACAATTAAATCCTTCTTCTCACGTCGTTTCACACGCGTGCAATTGTCAAATGTCTCCCTTATTTGAAAAGGAAAGTGTGTCACTTCAAATATATTCAAATACTTTCTCATTCAAATTATATTTTTAACTCTCTTATTGATTTAAACGTTAAAATAGTAACTTTACACATTAATAATTTTTTTACCACATAAAAAATTATAAACCACCACAAAAGAATGTGAATCCATCATCTCTAATGAAATTTACTTCCATATCGGGATATATTTTAAGATTTTTTTTTTAATTCTTGATCTATTAAAATTTAAACATATCTCAAATCCCAATTTTAAATTGAATGAATTAAAATATTGTGAATGGATTGAATAAATTTTTTATTAAATAGATTAGATGAATTATCAATTTAATATTGTCACACGTAGTGGAGCTACCCTCTCTCCCTGTATATCAAACGTCGCAGTTCGCCATTTTCACCCATAGAAACGTTGGATAGTCTTCTTTCCTGTCAATTTGGAGATGTTTTTTCTTGCGCTGTTGTTGAAGTTAAATGGATTTCTCATTCGGATGCTTCAAATCCTCCAAAACCATCTATGATTTCACTGTCAAGGTTCTATTTTTTGTTTTTAATTCTGATTATAATTTGTTGCATGATTATACCCATTTGTGTTTTTGTTTGTTTTTGGTTCTAATTACTTGAAAATATTGTGTCTTGATTATACCCAATTGTTGCTGCAGTCAAATTTCTTAATGGGTCAATCAAAATTATCAAATTGATGGAAATTGAAATGTATATTTGTTTGCATGTTAATTTTTAAGGAAATTGTTTCTACTTTTTGATTGTGATATGAATTATGATTGCAGGATATTCGTAGAAATGATGTGAGTCTGAGTCTGTATAGTGGGAAGGTTCTACTGATTGTCAATGTTGCTTCATATTGGTAACCTTACTTCATTCATTCATTTCTTTTACGTATCACTATGTTGTGTTCATTTCAGCCTTTTTTAGAAATGAAAATATTAAAGTGTCAGGGTAGCGCGTATAGTAGAGAGAGTGATGGAAAATAGAATTAAGTGGTTTGTACATGTAGAGAGAAGACTGGTAGATTCTGTAGTAAGGAAAGTAGATATGATGGAGAGAAAACAAACAATTAGAGGAAGGGGAAGACCTAGAAAGACTATCAGAGAAGTTATGTTATTAAGAAAGATCTCAAGATTATTAATTTGGATAGAAACATGGTTCTGGATAGAATATTATGGCGAAAGTTGATTCATGCAGCTGACTCCACTTGATAGGATAAGACCTAGTTGTTGTTTTGACTCTTGTCCATATGCTGAGTTTGATGTTCCATAAATGTCATTAAATTATTCTATAGAAGTATGAAACAAAAAGAATATGTGTATGGTTTTTGGATTTCTGACAATTTTATTAGTTGATCTTTTTTTCCACTTTTTGACAAATATTTTATCTAACTCAGATTGCAAATAAAAGAACACGGATGTTCATTCAGAAATTTAATTGTAATTTTCACAGGTGAGTTCAATGCAAATTAATCTCTAAAGACATTGAATTGAAAAGCCTTAGATTGTAGGGCTAAGCTAAAGCAATGACTTCTCTGGTGGATGATGTCAAATAGATTGTAGGGCTAAACAAGCTTTTAATTTCTTATTAACAGAAACTGCTGTTAAAGATTTGTGTGCATTTTCCGTTGACTGCGATAAGTTTCATACACGATGTTTATTTATCATGATTGTTTTGAAATTCTTTTTCTGTTATTGGATGAGATGATTATTGGAATATATTCGTCTCCATTTTACTTTGTCTATAACTATAATTGCGATACTCTAATTCATTGCTGCAGTGCTTTTACGGAAGTAAATTACAAAGAGTTGAGCGAGTTGTATGTGAAGCACAAGAATCAAGGCATTTCACTTTAGCCATGGACAATAACTAAAAATTATGTCAATTATACTTTATGAGTGTGAATTCTCTTGTACTGATACTAGTGTTTGTGATTTGTCTGTAGGATTTGAAATATTGGCATTTCCATGCAATCAGTTTCTTGCACAGGAACCAGGATCCAGTGAAGAAATTCATAAATTTGCCTGCGCAAGGTTTAAAGCTGAATTTCGAATCTTTCAGAAGGTGATTGCTGTGATTTTTTATTCGAGCTCTCTAATTTGCTCACTTTTTATTTTATTTTATCGTACTATTCTATGTGGAGAGTCGAGGGAGGAATGAAATGAGAGGTTGGAGATAAGACAAGTCTTAGAAGCGCATGTCCTCCGGAGAAGCAAGACGGGATATATGAAATGTAAGTTTAGCAAATGGTGAAACGTTTCTGTCTTAGAGGTGAAAGTTGAAGATCAGATCATAACACAAGTTATATGATTTAAATATTTTGGATCTATACGTAGTACAAAACGATGGAGAAATAGAAGGTGACGTAAACCATTGAAATCAAGTTGCGTGGTGGAAATGGAGGAGGGTCTTATGTGCGTACGTGACACGAAAGTACTGTTCAAACTGAAGAATTATTTTTGTAAGACAGTTGAAAGACTAGTGATGTTGTACGTGACAAAATGTTGGACTGTAGAGAACCAACATGAAAATAATGTAAGTGTAATAGAGATGAGGATGTTGCATTAGATGTGTGGTAAGATTAGACAAGATAAGATTATAAATGATAATATTAGAGAGTGTTTAGGTAACACCTACAGTAGAAAGGATGGTGAAAACTAGACTTAGGTAGTGATCTGACCTGACCAGAAGGGGATCACTGACTGACCGCGCCCTGCTGGATTTATGCCTGTTCAACGGTGTATAGAAGGAGATGGGGGGTGTACCTGCAAGACACTCCGATGCCAAAGTGAGAAGTTAGACAGAGTGATCACAAGTACAGAAAAGGGTAAGAAGAGGATACCTGACCCTCTTGGAGAAGAGGGTATTTATAGAGAGACCCCAGTGCAGGGCCAACGGTCATTTGAGTTGAGCTAGATGGCCAGGCCCAACCCAAGTGACTGCTAGGGCTTACGTGGCGTAGTGAAGACCAGAACGTGGTCTTCGCCCTAGTTCAACTGCTCCGTGAACTCCGGAAAGTGGGTTGACCTGCTCTTTCGGAGGTGGGTAGTTGGTGGATGACGTGTCCCCGCGGAGGGGAGCACGTGGAGAACGCGTGAAGGACACGTTTGTTCTGCTCGACAGGGGGAGAAGGTCCTGCCCGCGGAGGGTATTCTTTGCCCGACGGGGACCTTATGCTCGACGGCAGTAGCTCAAGCCAGATTGGGCCTACTGCACATTACTGGGCTGGGCCTACTCGGTCAAGCCGAGACCCAGGCCAGAACAGGAGCCCCCCAAGTCGTAGCTCCAAGGGAGGGAGCGAGGACTTGAAAACGTTGTGCCGGGGAGGAGAGAATCCCTCGGCTTGCGGTGAGCGGGGACGCGTGTAAGCGAGTCCTTCCTCGTCATCGGGTGCTCGGGGATAATAGGTGCGTGTTGGCGGGTAGATGTGAAGGGACGCGACTTTCAGCCTTCGCCACGTGTCATGCGCTGGGTGGCTGCTACGGCGGCTACCCTAGGGTACTCGAGTGCCTAGTGACACTTCGAGTCCCGTGCTGGGGTATAAGTAGGCGAGCCCCCGCCCATTCTCCACTTTTCGCCTTCTTGCTTCCAACCACTAGGATCTGCCGCTCTGCTTCCGTCTGATATCTCCGTCGTGACAGCCGCCGCGTATTCCGCCGTAGATCGCAATATAGTAAGTTTTTCTTCTCCTTTCTTTTGTTTTTCTCGAGGGATATGGGTCTCCGCCGCTATAGGCAGAGCTTTCTAGGGTTTTTGAATGAGCGCCCCGAGGATAAACGCCTATTCCGATGAACCCCCCGGGGGCAGATGCTTATTCTGATGAATATCCCGGGGACAGATGCTTATTCCGATGAATGTCCCCGGGGACAGATGCTTATTCCGATGAATGCCCTGGGGACAAATGCTTATTCCGATGAACGTCGTCGGGTAAAGAATACCCTCCGCGGGCAGGACCTTCTCCCCCTATCGAGCAGAACAAACGTGTCCTTCACGCGTTCTCCACGTGCTCCCCTCCGCAGGGACACGTCATCCACCAACTGCCCACCTCCGAAAGAGGAGGTCAACCTACTTTCCGGAGTTCACGGAGCAGTTTACCTTGGTCACCGATCCCTTCCGATCCCTTCTTTGTATCTGGTAGGTTAGCCCAATTTGATAGGAGCTAGGAATTGTAATATGCAAAACAAGAAAATAATTGTAAACAAGATTTGTATTGTTTGATTGAAAGGGAAAGTTTACAGCAAGATTGTATCCAAGTGCCACAAGGCCAAGCCCCTATTAAGAAAGATCTCTAGAATAGTGACTGGGATATAAACATGATTTTTGATAGAACATTATGGCGTAGTTTGGTCTATGTAACCGGCTCTACTTAGTGAGATAAGACTTGATTGTTGTTGTACTATTCTATTTGGATTTGGTGCACCGTATATTTCCCGAGCCAAATTCTGCATGCAATTTTTCTTTTGAAATGAATTCTAGAAGCATTCGGCGCAATATTAAAAGATATGGAAATCATTCTGAAATAACGAAATTATTGTAGATTGAAGTGAATGGAAAGAATGCAGACCCCCTTTACAAGTATTTAAAGAATGAGAAAGGTGGGATATTTAGAGCCATCGATTGGAACTTCACCAAATTCTTAGTAAACAAACAAGGGAAGGTCGTGAAGAGATATGCTCATACCATTAATCCTCATAAAATCGAGGTTAGAGTCATAGTCCTTCAAGATTTAATCATCTGTGCCGCGATTACATGTTTGTTTCTTCTTGCAGAAGGACGTCATAAAGCTTTTACATTCTTCTTGAGTACTAAACTCATGTTTCAGAGGTATCTCAAATTGACTATAGTTAATTTTCTTGACTTGATGATGTTCATGGTATCTCTAATCGTATCAGAAATCACTGTCTGAACCTAAAAATTACATCAGCTAATGCTTTGTCTCTCTGATTTTTCCAGGACATGGAGAATCTGTTCAATGTTTTCACAGGACAAGGAACTTCACTAAAACTTTTTAGTTGTAACTCAAAACAGTTCCTCACATATTTTTATATTCTAAAATAGTGTTCATAAATGCATCTGATAACACTTTATATTCTTAGTGACTATTTAAAAATGTTGATAATATGTAGATTAAGTTAAGACAGCCTATAATTTTAATGATCAACTTTAATATTTACTTATAAAATAAGTTAAGTGAAACATAATGAAAGTGGAATATGATGGTATCAAGTTATTATTGACTTTGGATATTTTATTACAAATTTTAATATATTTAACAAATTTGATTATAAACTTTAAAGAAGTTTTAAAAATAGAATGCTAACTACCAGTTGACAAATATAATTATAAAAGCGATTAAGTTCACCTTTTGAATCATCTACTCCTAAATATGGGAATTAACATGATTATTCCTATAACTACTCTATCTCTATTATGACCTTTTACAAAACACCAAATTATAATTTGCAATCCCTCAGCTAGTAGGAGTTTTCAATCTCAATGACAATTTTTTTATGGAATGTAAACTAGAAAGATAGTTTTAAAAAGCACGAAATAATGACCTCGCAACTTCGAACTACTAGGATTCCTCAATTGTAAGGCTACATGTTTCGTCAAAGTAATCCTCTATTGGGAGTTTTCAATTTCAATGACAAAGGTTTTATAACACGTAAAACTAGACTTATGGTTGTGGCTATTCTTGTCACAACGGGAATTATCATTACAATCTCATAGTTTGACTAATAAAATAAGTAATTCACCATTAAGTGCAACTTTAACGCAGGGTTGTTAAACCAAAATTCCTTATAGTTTACATTAGTAATAAAGAATTTGTATTATAGTAGAGCTGACATGACATCCAAATGAACTAAAATTTAGTTCCCATTATCTATATAGTTAACGTTAACTATTCTTGTGAAATCTATTATAATATTATTTAATATTAATAAAATATTCCAAATATTTTATTTTAAATAGTAACGGTCATATTACCATTTTTTACCTTCTATAGAAACTTTAATTTTTTTTACATACAGTTTTATTTCTAAATTTTTTTCTTTCAATTTTCAATCTTATTTATTTATAAAATGGATGACAACCAATCAAATCCTTATTATAATTATATTCCTATGAAAATGTAATTTTTTATATTATTATTATTGTGAATTTTGTATCATTTTTAATTTTATAATAAAATATATTTAATATTATTTTTAAGTTTTTAAGGTAAATTTTTTTTTAAAAAAATATATGCATTTTAAATAAAATAATTAAATTAATGGTAACTTGAATAAAAAATATAAAATGTGGGATCAAGTCTTGGTTTCTTATAGACAACCACCATTAAAGTAAAAACTATTCAAATCAACTATAAATTTTTTAAATCCTACAAATCACTTTGGACCCACAAAAAATATCTTAATTTACCCATTTAGTTTACTCCAACTAAAGATGCTCTAAGTCTCAATTGCCATCTAAATCAATTCTCCTAATTCTATAGACGAGCGAAAGCATTAAACACAAATAAAACTATATAATTGTAAAAAAAAGAGATTTGTTATAGAACCAGCCAAAGAAAATAATATAAGTCACATGTCCAAGATAAAATCATCTGAAAGGAACTTAATACAAGGAAATTAACCATTCAACCTTAATGAATTCATGGTTTTTGCATTTGAAAAATAAATAATTAAGACTCACAATGATTCATTACATTGAACTTTGTCTCATATAAGAATGTACTGAAAGTTAATAATATATAACAAAGGTGATTCTTATATTCAAAGTCTTAAAATTTTGGGTAAAAACATGGTTTCTTGATATTGTGAGTTTTGATAAATGTGAGTTATAAGTTCCTTATTACGTAAAAAGTGAAGATTAAAAATCTGATAAATGAAAATAATTTTAAATTCAATGACTTAAATTTTGAGTTAAGATGTGAAGTCCAACTTACTTGTGTATTTTCTTTTAGCCCAATATAGATCTTCCTTCGAGCTCTCTTCATGATCCAACAATGATGTCAACAAATTTCTTTTCATGGTTCCCTAATGGTAGTCTTTGTTTTCCCCCATGCTTGTAGAGACAAAAGTGAAATAACACTTAAAATTGGAAGGGAACTTAATTGTCTGTTTATTGAAATAAACCTAAGGCATTTTATAGCCTTTTACACGTACGGAAGCAAAACAGAAAGACCAATTTTTATGGCAAGTTATAAGGAAATTCAAAAGCAACTAATCCTAGAAAATAGGGAAATCCATAAGACTAGGGATTTATTGATGACGTGAATAAAATAAATAACTAATTTTGACTATCATTCCCTCCTTTAAGCTAATGCATCTGCATTGAGCTTAAGCTTCAACTGCATCAATTACTCCAAGCATTCCACGGAGCTTCACAAATTGCTCCAATTTGAGAGGCTTTGTCATTATGTCGACAATCTGTTCTTCAGAGCTACAAAAACTCAACTTCACAACTCCATCATTTACCAAGTCTCGGAGAAAATGAAATCTTACTCCAATATGCTTGCTTCGTCCATGAAAAACAGAATTTTTGGACAGCTGAATTGTAGAGCTGTTGTCACAATAAATTTCCGTGCTTCCTCTTTCTTCAGCTCCAAGTTGCTCCAATAATCTCCTAAGCCAAATACATTGACAAGCACAAAGTGCAGCAGCAATGTATTCAGCTTCTGTAGTTGATAGGCTCACTACATGCTGCTTTTTCGAAACCCATGAAATTGCTCCAGACCCCATAATGAAAGCAAAACCTGATGTGCTCTTCCGGTCATCCAAATCTCCAGCATAATTTCTATCTGTATAAGATGTGAGACCTGCATTTCTTCTGCCTCTTTTGTAGAGTATGCCAAATTCAGTGGTTCCTTTTACATACCTTAAAATCCTTTTTGCTGCAAGCCAATGAGATGACTTTGGATTTGCCATGAACCTACTAATCAAGCTTACTCCATACATTAGATCTGGTCGAGTGGCTGTGAGGTACATGAGGCTTCCAACTGCTTGTTTAAACATGGTAGTATCTATTCCATCTCCAGCCTCATCTTTTGATAATCGTGTTCCCGGAATGATGGGATTCTTCATGGAATTGCTGCTCCCCATGCCGAATCTTTCAAGAATTTCTCGAGCATATCTTCTCTGGCAGATAAATATTCCAGCTTCATTCTGTATCACTTCAATTCCCAGAAAATATCTCATCATTCCTAAGTCAGACATATCAAATTCTCTCATCATTAAGCTTTTGAATTTATCACACATACTCTTATTGCCTCCAGTAAAGATGAGATCATCTACATAAAGACTAATAATAAACATGTTACCTCCTTCTTTCTTGGTAAATAAGGTGTGCTCGCTGGAACATTTTTCAAACCCTTCACGTATAAAAAAAGCTTCTATTTTGCTGTACCAAGCCCTTGGCGCCTATTTAAGGCCGTACAACGCCTTCTTCAATCTGTAAACCTGGTCTTCTCTCCCCTTTTTGATAAACCCTTCTGGCTGTTCAACGAAAACCTCTTCTTCAAGTTTTCCATGAAGGAATGCACTCTTCACATCAAGTTGAAATATTTCCCATTCATATTGAGCTGCAAGTGCAAGAATTAGACGTACCGTATCAAGTCTGGCTACTGGTGCAAAAACTTCCATGTAATCGATTCCATATCGTTGTGCATATCCTTTTGCCACCAATCTTGCTTTGTGCTTTTCTACTTCTCCACTTTCGTTGAGTTTGGTTTTGAAAACCCACTTGACTCCAATTGGCTTGATTCCCGTCGGTAGATCGGTTAGCTCCCATGTGTTGTTCTTCTCTATAGCCTCCATCTCAACTTTCATTGCCTCTTGCCACTTTATGCATCGATGTGCTTCTTCGAATGAGCATGGATCATTTTTGCTTTCGGCGATCAACATCATGAGATTTTCTTCTTCTTCAGCCAAATCAGCTCCTGTCACATAGTCTGTCATCCATATTGGTTTTCTTCTAGCTCTTATGTCCCTCCCTTGAACTAGATTTTTTGGAGCAGTGTTGCTGTCCTCACTTGCAGGTGATATGATTTCACTTGAGTTGCCACCACCATCTTCATTTTCTTCTTGTTCAACTTCTTCTTGCTCAACTTCTTCTTCTTGCTCAACTTCTTCATCTTCAAGATTGCCATCTTCATCTTCACATACTAACACATCAGCTTTCCTTTCTTCATCGGTTCTGCCCCAATCCCAGCTTTTCTCTTCTTCAAACACCACATCTTTGCTTACAATGATTTTCTTGGAAACAGGATCAAATAATTTGTAAGCTTTTGATCCATCACTGATTCCTAAGAAAACACACCTCTTACTTTTATCCTCAAGCTTGGTTCTTCTTTGATCTGGTATATGAACATGAGCCACACACCCGAAGACTCGAAAATATGCCACCGTAGGCCTCACATTGCTCCATGCTTCTTCGGGAGTTGTATTTTCTATTGCTGAAGTTGGACTTCGATTTTGTACGTGCACACACCATCTCACAGCTTCTGGCCAAAATACCTTCGGAACTTGCCTTTCGTTCAATACAACCCTCACACCATTCATGATCATCCTATTTTTCCTCTCAGCGACTCCGTTTTGCTGAGGAGTATAAGCCGCTGTTAATTGCCTTCTAATGCCTTGAGTTTTGCAGAATTCGTCAAATTCATGTGAGGTGAATTCACCACCTCTATCTGTTCTCAAGCAAGCAATGTGTTCACCAACTTCTTTTTCAACACTAATTTTGTAGTTCTTGAAGTTTTGGAATGCTTCGGATTTCTCATGTAAGAAATAAACCCAAGTTT